GCTGTCAATTTATATACAGAAAGCAGATTAAAGAGGTCTTACTTATTACTATTGCTTTTTAGAAAATGTTTGTGGAAAATCAGGGTCGAAATTACTAAAAAATATTTTCTTTTGTTTCCTACCAAGTGAAAAGCCACTTTTTTTTTTAAAAAAAAGTAGATAATGTAAGATCTCTTAAGAGGAATAACTTATTTCCCAATTGAAACAGTTATGTAGTAGCAGATTCCATACTTAAGTTTTAGCACACTCCTGAGAAAATACCACCAGGGCTTAAAGAATTGCACTATATTGTTACTAACGACTGTGGTCTGGTGAGTTGAGGCGGCCACGAGCAAAAGGGACAGAAAGCTATCTAAGCTCTAAGCACATGTCAAAACATCACCTAAATTACTTTAACTGTCTGACTGCTTAAAATGTGTCAGAAAGAGAAAAAACATGCTGGGCACAGACTAGATGTGGGGGTGGGGCTCAGGTCCCAGGGCTCCCGTGCAGACCCGGGAGCTGGGGGACAGAGATGAACCCTGAGTGTGACTCAACGCAAGGCAGCCTCTGAAAGACTAAGAATGAGAAGGACAACCTTGAGGTCATTCTTCATTCCCCAGCACACTGAGGACGAACGACAGTAAAATTACAGAAGAGGTCTTAGCAGGGGCAGCTGAACCAAAACAAAGCCAGTGAGTGGCTCAACACTTCGGCATTTACGAAATGACCTTTGGGGTGTGCGCCACGGGCTGTGTCGAGTTGGAAGATGTTGGGAGGGGGTGGGGATGGCAGGGTGCCATGTTTCTTTAAAAAGTATTTGTAGAGCAAAAGTCAGATGATGTGTCTGTTGGAGGGAGAAATACTTTAAAGTTGGCTACTTCAATGATGGACAACCGTGGCTCTATCTTTGATTTTTATTACAAGGAACAAGAAAAAAAAGGCACCAGAAAACTTGGGTTTCCTAGGCAGCAAAATATTGGTCTTCCTCTTGGCTCCACCACTAGAAACTTGCTCTGCAGCACCGTGGTCCAGTGAGAGCCTCCCTAAATTTCGGTTCCCTCCTCTTTCCTAATGTGCAGTGAGAGAATCGAGGCAGTCACGTCACACAGCCATCGAGTCGGTAGCTGAACAATTTTTCCCTTGGGTCTATCAAAAGCTCTCCGCTCAGATCTCTAATCAAATGCTACTCCCTCGATTTCCCTGAATACCCTACATAAATAGACAACCCCAACCAGCTTTTTCACTGGCTCCTTCGCCGGCTTCATCTGTCTTCAAGGTCTCTACCTCCAGAGAAACTTACGCACTCACCCACTTCTTTATTGTCACGATCCCCATCAGAAAAAGCTCTATAAGGACCCAATATAATGCCTAGACCAATGACTGACACATAGCCATGCTCAATAAATATCTAATGAATAAATTAAAATCAGTTGTCATAAGACCTTACAAAATAAAGGGTCCCAAACAGACAGGACAGACTCAGGTTGAGGTTATCTTGGCCCGTCCTGTGAAGGAGTGGAAGGTTACAGCCACTTACAGATGTCAGCATTTTCCCCTGTACATGAGCATCTTCTAACTTGCACCTGCACAACCATGATTTTGTTCTTTGTTATTTAAATATATAATAGTAGCATGTTTACAGCTTTCTATTAATAGATTGCCTAATATACAACATGGTTCAGACTCAAAATTCCTCTCATTTAAAGATGCGGGTTATATGTTAATAGAATAAACTAGTCCCAACAGGGCGAAGTCCATTAATTAGTGAGCTCAGGGTGGAAGGGAGGGAAGACAGTCATAGCTGCGGTGAATACGGCCTTCGTTTTTAAGTGGTCCATTACTTTTCCCCTTGTTTCCTACATTCATTTTTCAATACAGTTTTTCTCGCACTCACTACTTCTTTTTCTTTTTTCCATGGTTTTTTAAGCTCTTCTCTTTTCCTCTCTCTACCCTCTTGGTAGCTAAGTCATAATATGTGGATGTAAAGTCTTGCACAGTCTTTGAGGGTTGACTACTTGTGAGAAGGACCGAGAAGGAAGAAGGGGTGAAAGCTGCCAAGTAGGAAAGTGTTGGCAAATGCCCAGTGCAGCTACTGAAAAACCTGGTCAGTTCTTTGGGTTTAAAACAGCACTCAAGGGCTTATAAGTCTCTTCCTCACCCTTCACATGATGACCACAGAACTTGCCCGTGCCTTCTGACAATTAATCTTAGAATCATTGGATTTTAGAGCTGGACCGCATCTTAGAGCTCGCCTACCCTAATACCCTCCAATTTACCAATGAGGAAATAGAGGCCAAAAGAGGTTAAGTGACTCGCCAAGGGTCACAGAATTAATGACTTGACAGGGTACAGAGACTCAGATCTCCGGATGGCCAGAACAGAATCCTGAAAAATGAGTGTCGGCAAAGCCCAAGAAATTCTACAGCTTATTGTCATCAGAAATGAAAGAAAAGATAACTGAGTAAAAAGAAAAATTTGGGAAGGAACACCAAGTAACTTCAAATGTAGATCAATCCAGGACTTAGGATTTTTTCAGAGAATCTTCCTTTTTTTAAAGTAAATAAGCATATGACCATTAAGGGAAAAAATAGGCGGAAGCACTGTGCCATGTTGTTGTTTTTTTAAATCTTCCATCCATTTATTTTCTTATTTTTAGTAGTTTTTAATGTAATATCTTATACACTTAGTGACTGTTGCATTGCGTTGACCTTTAACTCTTGCCTTCCAGTAATGGAAAGCAGCTGATGTTAATGTGCTGGTGCTTCAGTGTGAAGGAGGTTAGGGCTGTGTTTGTGCGCAATCAGGTTAAGATTGGCTCCAACAGGAGAAAAACCCATACATATGTTGAAAAGATCTGAAAAGTGCCTGTATTCCCAACCTGATTACGACTTACATTTTTGCATGGTTTGTCAAAGCAGATCACTAAAATCAAATCAAGATGTAAAATGGGATGAAGTGGTTTTCTTCTCCGTTCTTCCATGAATCACCGTGACCTACTGAAGAAAGGAACTTTTTGCTCGCTCACCTGAGGCGAGGTGGGGCTACTCGGCTGGAAGTGATGCCAATTTTTATCAATTGCTGCTCAAGTTCCAAAATTAATTTTCTAGTTGTAATTTCTTACATTTTTAAATGGGAGTTATTTCATTGAGGAGTAATTTTCCATTTTGATCAGCAATTCTATCGTAGGCCCCTTTTTATAGAACATAAATTTCCCTATAACCTTTTTAGACCTACAAACTTTAAAGGTTATCTAAAAATTGAATTTGTTAAACTGAAAATGTAGATTCGGGAATTAAAACAATAGCCAGTCTCTCCTAATAAATAACACTTGATAAAACCTGAATATGAATTAAATCAGAGTTCATTACTGGTTATCAAAAAGGATATTAGCAGATGATATATACGCATTTGTTTCGGAATAGTTTAAGTTGCTGACAGTGTCAGGTTGTACTCTACAAGACAGAATACTGTTGTTGGTAGCACAAAAAATGAGTGCAATAAACATTACAGGTTAACAATCTAGCTGTTATCTACAACATTCTCAAGCAAGACTGGGACTAGGTGAAAATAGTTTGGGAGGGGAGGGGAATATTCTGGCTCTTGTTACACATAAGCATGTTTGTTATAGGAGCATTTTCAGGTTAATTTTTGCTATTAACGTAAACCACAATTGGGGGACCATATTGCTGGAAGAGAAATGGGGGGAGGGTAGTTATATAAACAATATACAACAAAGGAAGTCTTTCTTTCCAATACCTGAATACATCAGGTTTGTTTTTAGGCACGAGGTTGCAGGTTAAATGCTCTCAGCTATCCAAGAAGTGGCTTATTAGTTTTGTAAGAAAATATTTTCTTATATTTTGACTGAAAAATACCCAGTTTAAGCGAACAAAACCATCCTTGTTAGTGAAAAGCAAACCCCCAAAAAAACTTTGTTTCAAAGACCCAGCAAAGCAAAGCAAAACTAATTCAAGAGGAAAAGCTCCCTTCCTAATAGTAGCTTCTGAATCTGGATCTAATAGTTCTCAGAGGCCGACTGGAGTCTTCAAGTCTTAAAAGTTTGTCTTCCTCCACGGATCATAGACATTCTCTATGAGGCAGCAAAATATGGATGTAAATCCATTTTAAGCAGAGATATGTTCTCTCTGGCCTATAACCACAAAGCTGAAAAACTGTGCCCCAACAGAAAAAATAAAGGTAAACACAAGTTTTGATTATTTTATGGGGCAATTTTCCAAACTCAACGTTCGTTTTTTGCTTTTCTGTGTTGTGGACTAGAAACACCCCAGCTCCATCTCTGGCAATGTAGCATCCACTAGTGATAAAATAAACGGCAACAAGCGATTATGCCTTAAGTACCACAGTGACGGCGCTGAGAGCTACATTTCAAACACACTGACTCAGCTTCAGCCAGCACCTGAGCTATGTTCGCTTCTCCTAATTTGTAAATGGGCCTAATCCTGTTATTACAGAATAATTACTGCAAATCAGCACAATTACTACAAAGGCATGACTAAACACACACATACCAGTAGCTGTTTTCTACAAATTATTATCAAAACAAAGAGAACCGGCTAATTGTGGTAACATTAAGACAACGTTTATTCCTCCCAGTGTTTGGGCAAGTTTATTTTAAGTTGTCATCTTCAACTAGTAATGATGCAGATGATTTTACAGATTCCATAAACCTTTCTAATCTAAACTCTTCTCAACTGAAAGTTGGCCGCTTCCCTCGGCACAACATCTGCAAAAGCCTGATTTCATAAGACCGACTTTTATGGTACATTAGCCAAAAAAAGACACACACGCTTTTAGAAATCTCAGTTTCAAAAGCTCATTTGTAGTGCACTCTTCTAAACTATCATCAAGGTATCATGAAAGTGAAGGACATATTCACCCTAGACTCTTCACGATTTAAGCATCCATCTTTAAGTACAATGTGGACTGTTACCCTCTGACCAATGTTGTTATCAGGTTTCCTTCAGGGACAGATATTCCTTCTTTTCGGGGGGGGAGGCCTAGGGAAGAGGTGAGTCCAGAGAGCACACAGCCCCGGGTAGCGATTTCCCACACTCACCTCCTGGACAGTGCCTCACGGCCATCTTACATCTCCTGGATTCGGCGATGGTTGGACATGGTATTGTGTCTTTCGCTGGCTTTTTAACAATTTGCCGTGTTCTGGTTTCCAGACCCCATTTAAATCCACATGTGCGATTATTTCTGCTACAAGTTCCCCATTCGCTCCAATGACCAACTTCACATCCTTCTAAATAAAGATTAAAAAAAATACAAATGCAAATAATTTGGTGTCCATTTGCTCCACTGTCATCAAAGTTATATACTCTCCCACCTTCAGATTCCAAAAATTAAGTTGTGCAGCCCACAAAGACCTATATTCACCTTTCAGGAACTCTAATTCTTTGAACCATAGGGTTACTTTCATTTACAATAATTGCCACATAAGTAACTTAAAAACTATCACTTTTGATTTGTCTTAGTTCATTTTTTGAAGAGATGCTACTGGTTCATTATAAAGACACTGAAATATATAATCTCTAAAAGACTCAATAGATAAAACCTACAGTAGAAGATACTATTCTCACATTATGATGGATGACAAAATTTTACCCCCACTGAAGTTCACAAGTTTGTAAGTTTTATTTTGAAAGTAAGTATTTGGTGAAAACGACAGGGTGTTTGTTTTGCATTTTCTGATTATCTCAATTCTTTCAATAGATGTCAGGAAACCACATATGTATTTCCTATTCCCTAACTTGGTGCTATACATTATTATAGTTTGAAAAGTAAACAAGTATGGTCAGATATCTGAAAAATGTATGATTTTCCTAGATTACATGTCTAGCTTTTAGCACCCCCTTTCGTAAAATCATATAGCGGAAAAGTAGGTCACCCTCCAATCCCTGGGGGTGAGGTTGGGGAACAGAGGGACACAAATTGGTAAAATTAAACCTCCTCATCAAATTCACCATTAAAAAATCCCCTTCACACTATAAGATCATGACTCAGGCACAGGGTCCAAACACAGTATTTCAGCATTTCAGATTTAACAGGCATGATCATGGTTACTTTTAGATTTTTCAAAGCTATTTAAGATTTGTATTCAGGTAAAAAAAATAAAAAATAAAAAATAAAAAAAGATTTGTATTTAGGGGAATGCATAGGACTTGACTGTAATTTGTTTATATTTAAGGGTTTCATAAGAGTTTCCATTGACCGTTTGTAATGGGCGTGGGTCTTGCCTCTCAAAAGCAAACCCAGCATTCTCAATTGCTCTTCTAGTGACTTTCCTATTTTTTATTAGGGTGTTGCCTGTATGAATGTATTCACTCACACATAAATAGGAACAGAAGTACACATTTCTTCATAAACCTCTTATTTAAATGTGTTCTCTGCAAGCTTTCAAATATATAATTATAGACTATTTTAGCAATATTTCTGCAGGGAAAAAGTTCTCAATTTTGTTTTTTAAGTCCCCATTTCAAGGAAATGGAAAGTCTTGCTTATAATACATAGATCTGTTGTATATCATATCAGATGTAGAACATGTCAAATAAAATTCAGGAGTAGGGTAGTATAAAAACCAAAACAATATAAAAACAGTGAAAAAGTAGTATAAAAACCAAAGTGTTTTCAAACACTCACAAAATATAAAATTTATAAAATGTGTATTCCTGATTATTATTCACAAATGGTATATATGTGTTAAATTATGCATTCTAGCTATATGAATTTAGTAAATGTAGAACTGTTTTAATGCACTTTGCAACATGCAATCATCAAAATATATTTTGCACAAAAAATTTCTTCCCAGTGATTTTTTAAAAACAAATGTCTAAGAAGATCCATAATTAATATACATAGCAAAAGTGATAGAATCATCAATTACATGATACTGCTTGAAAATGTTCTTTTAAACAAAATGTTTTTCTCTAACAAATACTAGTAATTTATTAAGATAAAAGAAACAGATGTATTACACATATGATAAAAAGATTATCAGCATATAAATAGTTTAACCTAGCAAATGTACAAGCAAACTTTGTAGCAAGATGTAATATATGAGACTACCCAATGTCATGGTGCCTAATGAATTCAGAAAGTCAGCAAAAAATGTAAATAATTTCCAGTTCTAATTAACAATAAGAGAACCAGTTTGTTTTTAATTTGACTATATCCAGCACGCTCCGCCCCTCCCCCTTAAGAAACAGGGGTAAAAATTGCAGTTTGAAAGTTACAGGAAAAACTACTTACCCACACACTCCATGGTTTCATCTAATGGTGCAAAACCATCTGGACATTCATCAAAGCATCGGCCTCTATGCAAATAAAAGCCTCCTTTGCACTTGGTACAAAAGTCTTTGCTAAAGCAAGAATCACAGTTTTCTATTCTGCATCCTAAAAACAATTTTAAAGAGAAAAAATTTCAGTCAAAGAAACGCACTTGCTTTGCAAATAAAACTTTCATAAACTCATCGGTCAGATCAATCGTAATTCTACCTTCAATATGTGTGTTCAACCCATTTGTTTCCTTATGCCGTCTCATTCTAAATCACTCCTACCTCTTGCAACAGCTCACCACATCAATAAACTAAGACACAATTCCAGCCCAGGGCCCTAGGCAGCCATGAGACCCTTCAGAAATGTTTGCAACTCCAAATGGGACTAAAAAGGATATGAAAGAAAAAGAAAACACCCCCACTACCAATTACATTGCTGCTGGGATTGAAATCTGTTCTGCCCTTCAAAAGACCTACAATGGAAAACACGAAGGGAATACTCTAATCAGTATCTTCTGTTTCAGGACAGTAAATTAAAATTCTGTTTATGTTGGTCAACGCTGGCATTTACTTTCATCAGAGGGTTTCTTAGGAGGGGTAGTTTAGGTCATTTAAAAAAAAACAAAAACATAACAATGTGCCAAAGGCTTTACATGCATTTCCATTTAGTCTTCATAATAATCCTACAAGGCAGGCAGTGCTATCCCTATTTTGCAAATAAAGGATTTGAGACTAAGAGAGATTAAGTCGTGTAGCCAGTGGTGGCTGAGTTGGTTCTGAAAGCCCTCAAAACCGATTGCCTCCTAAGTCTGTTCCCCTTCCTCTATAACCTGCTGGCTGAATTTTGCTAGGAGCAGTTTGTGGAACAGAATGCTTTCAGGCCTGCTACATCCAGGTTTGAACCCCAGATCTGCCCTTACCAGCTCCACGAGTCTGGACAACTACACACCTCCCTGAGACTCTATTTCCTTCTGTATAAAACAGATACAGCACAAGGCTACTGTGAGAACTTGTAATAATACAGGTAAATTGGCTTATAATAGATAGCCTGCACATAGAAGCAATAGTGGACTAGAAACATGTTCTTTCCCACTAAACATACATTACACCAGGTATAAAAGGAAGCAATGATTTATCTTGTATTCTAGGTCAGATTCCCTGATAGGCCAGTAGCATCTGGGCCAGAGATAACTGGCTTGTGGGGGTGGGGGGGATAAATATACTCCACTCTTCAGAGGAAAGGGGAGAAGGTTAGAAGATTGGTTAATTGGAAAGTCAGGTTTTCAACAGATTATAGTACATTATTACTTGCAACAGATTTAATTGATGGTAGTTAACAGCATATAAAGCTCTATGAAAACTCCACGGCATTGCTCTCATTCATTTAACAAGCCTCCGAATGCCAGTACTCTATTTAGAGCTTTAATGATTCTGAAAAGCTTTCAAATATATAGTTCCTGCAAGCAAAGAAAAAAATGGAATAGAAAATAGTAACCAAAACATGAAATCACTGAATATTAAAATTTTGAAAATTGAGAAAATAAAGCCAGAAAGTAGAATTAAAAGCTAAAAGACATATATATTTCATTAAAATAAATAATAAGTCAAAATAAAAGAAATGATAAATAATGACAGTTTCTGGAACCTATAAAAAGAAAATGGCAACTCTTCACCTTTCAATATTGAGTCTAAACTGGTCTTCATGTATTAAATGACCACCATGAAGCAGTTTATTCAACTTCTAAAATGATACCATATTTACAGTTAGAAAACCAACTATGTGTGGGTGAAAGTCCATAGTCAAATTACAGTATTTCTCTTTTTGGGAAGGATGGTGGGCACAGAACACTACCCCCCATAAGAGGTTCATTTACAGTCTTAAATGCTGTAACGTATATTTTAACACAACAGTGGTCTATAGCTGGTCAGTAGCTTCTTAATCATGGTGAAAATACATGACCATCATTTCCACAAATTGCTGGTTTTCTTGCCCTTTTTTTTTTTTTTTTTTTAAAGCAAGCAGCCCTTCCTGTTAGCAGAATTATTTCCCAAGAAATAATGATAAACATCCCAAAGATAAAACAGGACTAAAGGGTAAAAAGAACAAAGCACTTATATTCTGAAAAGAAGACCGTACACTTCATAAATCAATTGTTATCTAGAAAGTCTGATTTTTCTTTAAAACATGACCTGCACCAGTAAGCTTTTTGGCCAAAAACTTACAGCAATAAGCATTTGGAATTAATTTTACAAGGCCCTTTGCTGATCTTTATTGTTACCTGTAACTCTCTTCCCTCATTTTGTTCCCTGCTCCTGATACCAGTTCACAGAATGTGGAATTTCTGAAATACCTATCATTCTCTGTAAGGTCCCTTAGGACTTCTTCAGGCACAAATCCACTAGAAGAAAGCTTAATTGTTTGTCCTCAAATTCAAGTGGAATAAAAATTTGATGCACTCAAATTGTAGATTATGACAACCATGAAGGAGCACGAGATGAATTACAAGCAATGACGCAATAAGCGCGAAGCCCTATAGTTAAGTGAAAAAGGCAAGTTGCAGAGTGTCTGGCAGACGATATAATAAAACCATAAATGCGTAACAGTGTATGAAGTAGGCTGGAGAAGTTCATTTGGGAAAGGATGGTAGAATTTTGAAATATGTTAAGAGTATACATTTCTGAATTATATGAATCTTTTATAATTGTGATGCATTTCATATTAAAGCAAAGTTATTGCAATATACATTTGTGACCTACTTGAATTTACAGAAAATAGAATTTATTAGCATTCTAAAATAAGTTCTTTTGATTTTAGGCAAGAATGAATAAAGGACTACTATCCCATCTCAAATTTTTCTACATTTAGGCGCATAAAATTACACCCCTTATTGATGAGGCTGCACCTGCGTCGGCCTTCAACCATCACTTGACAGTGTCCTTTGTTTTCATGTTTTATGGCACTTTTCCTTCACCCTGATCATAAGGAAAAAAACTAAACTGCTTTTTATTCAGCAAAGCATTTCAACAAAAGCTTTGATTGGTGCCAAGTCCCGACATCATCAGAAGCTCTGCTGACCCTCCTGGTCTCGGCCACTCTTTGCCACAACATCAAACCAATGCCTGCAGCCCATATACTCAGTGGCCTGAACTCACACAACTCATCTAATCATCGCAGCTTTTTAACGCTGGCAACTGCAAAAACCCTGTACCCTGGAAATCTACGTCTGGACAGGCCCCCGCACCTGAAAACCTTTCCTCACTGGCTCCAGGCCCATCCACAACCCCCTGCCCTCTTCTGCCCTTTCTCCCGAAACTACCTCATCTGCTTTGGAGAAAAACCTCTATTTGTGGGGCCTCAGAGTCCTATACTGCCCCTCCCCCACCCAAGCCTATAGCTGCTCTACCCGAAACTTCTTAAGCTTGTTATCTTTAAATAATTGGGATTTAAATCCACTCTATTAACTCATTCTTAATACAAAAGTAAAACATCCTCATTAAAAGTTCTGAACAATGCAGAAGGTTTCAAAGAGAATACAGAAATACTCTTCCTTACATTAATGGCAGGGCAGGCCCACTTCTCAGAAATAGCAACTTTCAGAAAAGTCTCTCTGTCAATTTTATAAATAAATGAGTTTTAAAATACCAATGGGACCATTAAATAGACTGATAAACCTTAGAAAGCTTTATACTGTGTAAGAAAACAGGTATATCAAAGTTTACTAAACACAAGGCTTCTCTATAAAAATCTGGGCTTTAAGTCCTTGCTCAGAAATATATGACCCTGGCTTAGCCAACTTACATGCTTCTAAATTACATGCCTCCTCAAAAATGCAATCCACAAAGTGAGGACTGCCAATATCGGGTTAAGCAAAATTACTGTCCAAGGGAAACTGCCTCCAAACGCAGTCTGACGGGGCTGTCATTTGGCAAGAGGGGTTTACTCTGGCCAAGAGAGGGAAAAAAGCTGAGAACCCCTTCTGTCTTCCCGCAGTGCCCATACAGGCTCCCTTATAACATTTTCAAATTATACTGTAGTGCAGTTCAACAGTTCATTCCAAACATTCTCCAAAAATGTAGGATTGGGCCAGACCCTGAGAACATAAAATTATAATACCCATTCCCTGTCCTGGAGGTGAGAACACCGAAGAGAGGGGGCCACGTGCACTCACAGGGCATTGCAACAGAGCATAGCACTTATGTGCTGGGTTCCTCACTGGCAGGGAGGACGAGTCATTTCTGTTCTGCCATTACATTGTCTTCATTTTGTTTTCAATCTGTGAGTTCCTTGTTTCTAACACAGAACCAGACACATGGTGGGGTTTTAATGCTTGCCAAGTGAACTCATGCGAATGCCACTTAGAAATTCAATTCCTTTATATTTAAAAGCCATTTAAATGCTTTGTTTGAGAGTGCTTACATGTGCACTGTAAATATCTTTACTATAAAAAGTTGGTTGGTTGCTATCAATCTTACTGGAGGAACAAACAGTTAAACACCTATTTAGAAAGAGAAAACACCTAAATATTAGAAAAGCAATTATAACAGAGAATGTACATGTTGAAGTGTGGCAGGTAACATGTGCTATGGAAGTTGGAACCTCAGCTGAGCAGGTTTTAGAAAGACAGAAGGAAGACAGAGTTCTGGGCAATGAAGAAAACTCCCCTGGCATGTGATGGGCCAGAAGAGTAGCTTGAATGAACTGGAGGTTGGATGGAGGGAATGGTTCCTCGGATTTAGATTGCTGTGGGCGGGGAATTTCACTTCATACATTACTGGGTTTCAAAAAAGGAGGTAAAATGATAAATTATTTGTCCTTTGTGTGGTTTTAAGGCTTGTTCCCTCAATTTGACAGATAGGTAAAAGTCACTAGGAGCCAGGCATCATGATGGACAACCAAGGGCACAGACGGAAAAGCGCTTCAGGATCTTCAGTCTCCTAAAAGGCAAAGGCCCAGGCAGGCGATGGGGCAGCAACGTGACTACTCTGAAGCACACACAGAGCGAGCTGGAAAGTCCTTATTTCCAGGAAATTACGCTTCCTGGAAGCAGGCAGGGAGTGAAGGGAAGGAAACCCGTGGAGAGCCCTCAACACCCTGAGAGGGAAAAGTAGAACCGACAA